GGGTTCCATACATACATATAATGAAATTTGCTTATTTTCTCTTCTTCTTCTGTCTCATGTCGATTTGATTATTACATCAGCCAGAAGAACCTAGAAGGGTAAAGTCTCTACCTCCCCCACAATGGCTTCCAGGAATATTTCTACTTCCCACTAATATGTCATACAAATATATTGCTGGGGCTCCTCTTTTTCCTCTCCTCTTCGAAGTTCTAGGCTGGGGCCCCCATAACAAAGGACAACACAATAAGGCATCATGAAATTTTATTATGATAAGGTTGAGTATCATTGTACCTAGCACTGGATTATGAGAGTAATGAAGAAGAAACACTGTTAAACAAAGTTTGAGATGTACAGAACCAGAAGGTATTCTGAAGAAAAGTCTTCCAATAAAAGACATGTGAAAACTTACAATACACCATTGATAAAGTTAATTCATATACCAGGACTCACACAATGATGCTGCCCCAGCGGCCCAGCCCACATCAAAAATCTCAACCTAAGTCAGCCTGCATTTACAGGAAAATCCTCACTGTCCAATCACAATCCTCCAACTCGGCTTTCACTAGCTTACCTTACCTTGGAAAACAGGACCCCTTAGCCTCATAAGAAAATCATCGACCTCCTAGCCAATCATGCCCTGTTTCCATGTTGCCTTTTCCAACATTCCATAAAACCTGTTCTTGTCCAAAATCCCTTGGGAAGAGTGCTCCAATGCTTGTGAGTCACTGCGTTCCCCGGTTCATGGGCTGTTTTCCCTTCAATAAAGAACATCAAACTAGTTACTAAATTATATTACTTTTGTCATTTGACACCACTATAGGGAAGCCATCCACAACAAACCAGTTAATGAGGGCTGTCAATTAAAATGCAAAGGCACGTTAGGCTTATTCACTGCAGGAGAAAAGTTCAAATGCCTTGCAATCTATGGCTCATTTATTAAGGAAACTTTGAAGACATTTTTCCAAATTTGACAACAATCCTAAACTATACATGACATGAACAATACGGAGTTGTACAGTGGAATGAGAAGGAGCAGGGCTGGGGAACAATGACCCGATTTTGGCTTAAGGTGCATCATAGTTAACGTGAGGAATCTACAGGAAGAGTCAGGGTGGCCAGTCAGTCTTGTTTTGCACAAGCTGAGTTTCAGATACAAAGCGGACATCTTTAGAGAGGTGGGGGTTAGAAACATAAATCTGCCAGTTACTAAAATACATAGAAGCTGGATGAAGATGAGATAACCCTGGATAACAGAGTGGAATGATGGAGTAGGACACTGGGGAAAGAGCAACAGGAAGAAAGGGGTCACTTTAAAAATAACAAGAACTGGTAAAAAGGCAAGAGGGAAACTAAAGGAGTTTAGTGTCCTTGAAATCATGGGAAAGTGAGTATTAAGGAAGTAGTGAACAGTGCCAGGTACTTCAGAGAATTCAAATTTAAAGAACTGAAACCTATCAACTTAGTCAGCTATGACCCTGTGAGAACAGCTGTAGTTGAATGGCAAGGCTGGGAGCTAATTACAGCACACTGGAAAGTAAGTGACTTCTAAACTTCACCAGACAGTTACCCCGCCACCTAGAAAACTAATCTGTACAACACAAATTGCCGGGAAAGAGCTTTCCACTAATTTCTTTAACCGAGTCCTCCAGGGGCTCCTAGGAAAACGGGTCCAGGAGTGGAGCCCACATTCATTTACAACACACCAGCCAAGCCAGAGCCGCCATCCTTCCTCTCCTCCCTTTCCCAACCCCACAATTTCCTTAAGCAAGTAAAATGCAGTGGTTTCTTTCTCTAACCATACAACCTAGTCAAGTGCAAATGAAAACCCAAAGGCCACAGGAGTGACAGACAGGAGTGGAGAAGGAAACACAGGTGGGTGGGTGGTGAAGAACAGGCAGGTGAAGATATCTGAAAAAAGGAAGCTGTTATAATTACTGATATAAGCAAACTGGGGGAAGAAGGGGTAATGCCAATCTTTTTAAGTTTGAGCCTTTGTAATTCTAGAAACAGATTAATCAATTACCTAATTTACCATTATTTGTCTAAAGTTTACTGTCTTGAAGCCTGATCTCAAAAAGAAAATAAAAAGCATTCCTAAATTGACTGTGTTGAGTTTCAAGTATGCACAATTTAAAAGTAAAATTTATTTTACGCTTCAATTTCTAACATCTTCTAATACGGTCTGTCTAACAGAGTAAAGTACAACTTTCCCAACAAGAGATGAATTTCAGGCAGAGCATAAAATAGTCAAGGTGGACCATGAGAATGCTAATAAATATAACCATCAGATCAAACTGCTTTAAAAAATATCTGGTAAAACCACTTTTTAAAAAACATCTTCTATTCATTTTGAGAGCCCTAAGTATCTGGTTTCCTATGGAATAAATCATGAAGAAATTATGGGTGGGCAAGTAAGAAGGAAACAATTTCATCTGACATTTACTTGTGACACCAAAGTGTGGGCAAAATGACATTTTATATAGCATCAATGTTAAATTATTCCCTTGGTTCGCTGATGCTCAATTTGTTGCAAAAATTAATTATATAACAAAAAGGAAAAGGTAAACACCATCAAACTCTTAGAAAGATTTGTCTTAATTGTGAGACATTTTTTTTCGTGAAAAAAAATCCTATAAAATCTTTCAAGGTGCTGATCAGTGTTTTTATCATTGCTCGGTTTTGTGTGTGTGTGTTTTTTTAAATTAACCGGTTAGAAAAACAGAATTTAAGTTCTTAATAACAAACACTGACCTGCTTTGTAGACTAAAGAGTGCCTTAATACCACAGCCAACAGGAAGAGAATAATTACTAATTAGAGAAGCCAAATATGCTCCACCAATCGTATTACACAGTAAAATGGAAAAAAAAAAACACTTTGGACACCAGAATCTCTGAGTTTATGTAATAATAAAAACCCACTATACCAATAATTCCTCCATGTTAAAGTGTTTTTCACAGTATTTTAAGGTACTCACCTCTCTCATGTGACTCTCACAAATAAGTAGTTGGAAAGATAGGCCATCATTGCCACCTACGTGTAGTAGCTTCAGTAAACTGAAATTTCTTAGAGCACCAAGGGTCAAGGCCTCACTGCCACTCGGAGTGGTGGCATCCTAAGGTCACCAAAGCACATGGGACTGTGGCAGGACTCTGTGATGGGAGCCAGTGAGGCTCTTTACAATGGAGTCACTCCAGTTTGGTTGTGGCCAAATCAATGAACACACCAGCTCAATATAATATATAATTGCCTTATAAGGCATAAAATTTTCCACTTCTCAAAGATCTCCTAACAACCAACACTGTCCTACACTCAGTACTTTGGAGGAAACTGTGAAGAGACTATAAATAACATGCATGTGGTCACCTGATTAGTTAGTAGCAGAGTGAAGAACAGAACCCAAGTTCCCCGGTTCCAAGCCATTATTTCTTAAATAAAAGATAACACAGTACCTAAAATTCACCCAATAAGCCAACAATGAAATGGGGCACACATCTATGTATCTGAGAAGAGACAGCTAGATATGTTTCTAAATTGTTTTCTTCAGTGTATTTAAAAAAAAAAAAAAAGTATGCTTGGAGAGCCCAGAACTGGCAAAAGGAATGAAAGATCTCTACCTCTATATCGTCATGCAAGCACAGAAAGTCTAATTCTTTTAAGGAAAAACAAAACAATAAAGCACCAATGTTAATGCAGAGTCCATAGTAATAATAAAGTTCTAAAAATCTTGAATAAGATTTTTGCAATGTTATTAACTAAGACAAGTCATTAGAAAAATCTATGTGGTCAAACTAATTTAATTTAAACAGAGTGTTTGATCAAAATGGCAACTTTAAGAAAGATAAGCCTCAAAGCTTAAAAAATAAACAGGGTTGACCTTTAGAATAAATATTTGCTTTGAATTCTACAATAAAGTGTAGCACCTCATTAGATGAATAGCCTTCACACTGCTTTCAGAAATACAGCTATTAAGCTTTCATTAAATGCAATACTCTATAAGTCAACACATTAAATGTAAGGTACAATGTTTCACAACAACAGGAGTATGAAATGACACAGACTTTAGTTATTTTTCTGCATAATCCTTAGCAATCAAAAAACTAAGCTATTATAATTTATTAAAATTTGACCTATAGCTCTCTCCCTCATCACAATCATTAAACGGCTCTTAGTGACTAGTTTTCTCACAAAAAAAAAACAAAAAACAAAAAACATCAGTTTTCCCTGATACCAACTTTCTAAAATACAAAGAATATACTCTCATGCTTCATAATAGTAGCCACCATTTACTGAGTGCCTCCCATGTGCCACTAGCCATGCCATTAGTTTTACTTGTATTATCTCATTAAGAACAAAACTCACAGAAGAGAAGGGACTGAATGGGCCAGCCAACTAGAAAGCAGCAGATTCTGAATACGAACTCAAGTCCACCGAAGACATTTCTACTCACTATGTTATTGCTAACTCAAACGAGCATACATTCAAGGCCTTGAAGCACCAGAATTAACCTCAAGAATATCAAGCATGGAGGCTAAGAGACCTCAAGACTACTCAGCAGTGACCTGCAGTCCCTTTATATCTGGTTTTCAGAGAAATCTGTAAGTATGAGAGCAATTCCTAGTAGAGGTAGAGAAAATCACCTGCACCTTGACATCATTCATTAGAAACTATATAGGGCAATTCCTAACATTTTTAGGAATCTGATAAAAGCCAGGATCTTCTTCCCAGAGAGTCACATAAAATTGTGCATCACTTTGGAAGGTTCAGACTCCTAAAGTCCATCTACACATTTCAATGTTTAAGTTTACATTTGAATGGACTAAGAATCCATAGAATGAGGTTAAGAAAGTATAACATGACACAAGTAGAGTTCTTTGGAAATTGTTTTAAATGTCGGGACAACTTGATCATGTAAATGATCCTAGTTTTAATGCTTCTGATAATCTATGGCGACGACCTTACAGAAGAAAGAGAAGGTTTAGATGCCACCATTGATGCTTACCGTTTTCCTGTGCAATTTTTGTCATTCAGGCCGCCAACCTTGTTTATGGCAGACCAGGCTGTGAGAGCCACATATGGCAAAGAGGCGGCTTGAGTATGAGTCAGTGATTTGGGCTTGTGAGAGACCTAGATTTGAAGACAATAGTCAAAAATAAGCAATGACTTACAAACCTATGAACACAATTAAGGTTATTTACCTTCATAGAAGGCCAGCCATTTTCACAGATAAGTCTGTAACATTCTGCCAGTTCAGTATTTCTTACATACACTACTTTAGGACTATCCCTAAGGAATATTCTCCAAATGACTCAACCTGCCCTCCTGGGGTCAGAGGTTCAGTAAAGTTTTATGGGCTATATTATCAGATACGGCTGCTTAATTCATAAAGATCCCATTCAAGAATCCCATTAGTTCTGACTATACCCAGAAATAAATCCAAATATACCTTAAACTCTCATAAACACATTCTAATTTGATTTTTAGATCAGCTCTTTCCTTTACTCCCTTGTACTAGAAGGTAATCTTTCCAGACTTTCTCTAATCTCATTAATACCCCTTCTCCCCTTCCCATCCTCCCTTTTGTAGCCAAATTCCTTAATGTTAACTCCTTTCCCTGTACTCAAATTGTCAGACCTCTTGATGGTATTTAATTAGACTCCTGTTTCTAAAGTGATTTGAAATAGCTTGATACTTCCATACTTCTGTTTATAATTAATCAGTACGCTCCATTTGGAATATTTGGTTTCCACTATTTACACTGGATAAAACCAAGAAACACAGCAGGGTTTCTAGATCTCACTCCAAATCCCTGCTCCACAAGATAAAGATACCACTTTGACAGGCAGTGTTATTAAAGGACATCAAATTATTTTTCTAAGCTTTCAAAAATTTCTATTCTCTATCTTAGCTCTTTCAAACCTACCCATTAAACATGAACTTGATCTGAGGAAAAAACCACAATTATTTCAGAGATATCTGCCAGTCTTTGTTTATACTTTCTCATGGCATTTCAGCGCACAACTGGTGAGTTACCTCATTCCCACTGACGACAACAAACTCTGAGAGAGTGCCCTGCTTCCAGGGAGGAACTGCAGCCCAGACCTGAAACAAACACATGCAGACACAACTTCATTAGAAACAGATCTCTTTTAACCAAAGCTAAGCATGAGTATTCCCCAATACATTCCCCACCCTGTGAAAAAAACACAAGTCAGCAGTACACCAACCAAAAGTTACTGTCACATGATGTAAATGCATTACTTAGTATGATTCTGGATTTATCAAGTTAGGCTGCACTGGAGGCAGATGCCAGGAAGTCCTGCTGACTGCATACTTAGAACACCAGTAAGAGCACAGTGTCTGGGGTTTGAATCCTGGCTCTACCACTTGTTAGCTCTGGGACCTCGGTAGAGCTTGCCTTCCCCATCTGGAAACTGGGCCTAACTGTATTTACTTCACAGAGATTAAAAGTTATTTTATGAAAAGCAACTATAAGAGTGTTACCTATTATTATGAACTCACTTTATTTTCTTGGTGAAAAAAAATCAAAGTGACAAGTGATTACACCAAACTTCAGCTCTTTTAAAACCATCTAGCCCACAAGACAGAAATTGTCAGTTAAAGACTCTTTGAAGACAGACGGTCCCAAACATACATATTTAAAGTCCTGCAATTCCTAAGCACTAGAGTTAGAATGCTTGAGTACAGTCAGACCATTCTGAAAGAAACAAGAACAGAACCAAGAAAATGAAAAGTTCCGGCCAAAGCTCAGTATATTTGTTGGAAAGAAAAGGTCAATGATACGGAATATACTTCCAAAAGAAGCGGAATGAAATCTGCATATTTAGAAAAGGCACAGCAGCATTTCATAACTCACCTCATCTCCGGGCTTGAAGTACCTCACGTCAAGTCCGCACTCCATCACCACACCAGACACATCCCGACCCAGAGTCAGGGGGAATTCGTCTCCTTTGGTTTTAATATGTAAAGGGTCACGTTTCATATTTAAAGCTGTAGCTCCATAACCACCTATAAAATACAGTTTTATCTGTTTCTTCCAAAAGAATGGGATGATTTAACAACTATTACAGGGCTCTGACTGCTGTGGCTCAGATGGTTGGGCGTCATCCCACAGAGTGAAGATCTGCTGGTGAGATTCCCCATTAGGGCATATGCCTAGGTTAGGGGTTCAGTCCCCAGTCAGAGTGCATATAAGAGGCAACTGATGGATGTTTCTCTCCCTCTTTTTCTCCCTCCCTTCCCCTTTTTCTAAAAATAAAATAAATTTTAAAATTATTTAAGATTTTATTTATTTCAGGAAGAGGGGAAGGGAGAGAGAAAGAGACGGAGAGAAACATCCATGTGTGTGAGAAAAATCAATCAGTTGCCTCCCACACGTGCCCCAACCGGGGACCAGGCCCGCAACCCAGGCACGTGCCCTGACAGGAAATCGAACTGGTGACTCTTTGTCTTGCAGGACAATGCCCAACCAACTGAGCCATGCCAAACAGGGCATAAAAAAGATTTTTTTAAATAAATAAATGAATAAAATAAAGACTACTGCAGGATTATAGGCCAGATACAATTATAGATCCTCAAGATTTAAATTATGAAGTAATCAACCTTATAAAATTTTTTTGTACCATCACACAGGAAAGCATAAAAACAATCAGTGCTGTTTCTTTCAAAGAAAATTACTTGGTAAATTATAATCACTTGTTAAACTAAAGCTATCATTGCTCAAAATGTTTTAATTCCCATTTTGAAACTGTCTTCAGATCCTTCAGTATTTTCTTTTATAGTTTTACTTTGTTTCTTTGAAGATAGTTCTTTAAGTTATTCATTCATACACTTTAAATAACAGTATCATTTGGTGCCCAGTCTGGTGAAGATAAATGTTAAGGCTGTTTGAAGTTAATAAACCAATAAATAAGGCAGAGAGTTATTTTTGACGCTGACACTGGTCTGTAACTAATAGTCCCCACCTTCCCAAAAAAATGTTTCTAGGACATCTTTGGATTAAGTACATAGAGTGAATCCCCAGTGGAAAAAAACCACTTGACTGCCCCTGTTCTGATATGTTAAATCAAGTTAATTGTTTTATTATACATAGCCTTCTATTTTAAGAATATTTACATAAATATCAGCTAAGTAGAGCTGAAAACATTCTTCTGATATTTTTGGTTCAAATAAATTGGCTACTCTATGTACAATAACCGCAAGTAGCTTATTACACAGCTTCAATGTATAAAATGGCTTTTCCAAGACACAAAATTATCTGTAATTCTCTTCTGCTTGACATTTCTCTGAGAACATTTCTGCTCTGTAAGGTTCTCCAAAATTAGTGTCATGTACCACAGTTTATGCTCCCTGATCATTAAACTTGTAAATCATTAAAGTCTGTAAGTCTCTTTTTCTCCAAGCACTTTCGGGGCAGTATAACATTAGACCTTAAGGATGAGGAGAAACCAGCAAAGGAGCCTGAGAAGACCTAGCCAATGAAGAGGTGCCCAGAAAGGTTTGAAGAAGTCAAATGCTGCTGAGGGGTACGACAGTTTTTCAAATAAGATCAAAAGCTGCCAATGGGCTATTAAAAAAAACACCACCACCAAAAACCCAAAACAAAGCAAAAGACTGGATCCAGCAACACAGAGGTCTTTGGCGACCTTCTTTTGGTGGGATAGCAATTGCTGTGGCATGGAATGACAGAGAATAGGAAGTGAGAAATTGGAGACAGTGGGAACATTCAACTTTTTCAAATAGTCTTGCTATAAAGGGGAGCAGAGGAGTAGAGGGAGGCAACTGAGATGGAGAGAGGATTTTTTTAGTAGTGTTTTTGTCTCTTTAAGAGGGAAGAAATAACAGCTGGTCTGTATGCCAATGGAAATGACCTAGTAGAAAGGAAAAGGTTGAAGATGCAGGAGAGAATTGCTGAAACAATGCTCCCCAGTAGCTGAGAGGAGATGGGATCTGGAACGCACGTGGAGAGACGGCCTCAGATGGGGCAATGACAGCTAATCCATATAGCAGGTGGGAATACAGAAGATATACAGAGAGATGCTGACAGGTGAGTACTCGCAAAAGATATTTTGTTTTTAGAAGGTGTTTTTCTAATTTAAAAAAAATCAAGACACATGGGAGAAAGTGTTTGAAAGTTGGGACAGTCCCAGGAAAATCTAAGCTGATGGTCACCATGCCAATATTACACATTTGCCATGTAGCTAGTTAGGGATACACACTATCGGGGAAAGAAAAAAATTTTCACATGTAACATGAAAGTCATGTTTTACTTATTCTGTCTTACATTCCATTTCCATCATTAAAACACTATTAAACAATTATTCCCTGAAATTCTTATGTGGAATTTGAGCAACAGAAGTGGGCAGTTAGCCATATCAAACTTCAGTTGTTTCAGAGCTGCAAAAAGGCTTCAGTCCTCTCTTAAGGACAAGGATGTTTAAATACCCTTCTTGATCATTCTGATATGCTAATATTATCAATTGAGTATCCCTGGCTCAGTGGTTCCAGCTAAACTAGCCCCAAATGCAAAATGCAGCTGGCAGTTAATCACTGAGAACCTGCCTGTTGTCACTGATGAATGGAGGCTGTTGGGAACTTCATCCCATTGTCAGAGTTGGGATGATTTGTAAAATTGAAAATCTGTCATCAGTTTCAAAGACTTTAATCCCATTGTAAGAAACCAGACTGTTGGTACAATGTTGTTAGCTGTATTTTTTTAATTTTAAAATTATTTTATGTTCACTGCAGCATTACTATTAATAGCTAAGATATGGAAGCACCTAGGGTGTGTGTTTGTGTGTGTGTGTACACACACACATATGTATACACACACATAATGAAATGAAATCTTGCCATTTGTGACCATATGAATGGACCTAGAGGGTATTATGCTAAGTGAAGTCAGAGAGAGAAAAACAAATTCTGTACAATTTCACTTATATGTGGAATCTAAATTAAAAATGAATAACCAAAACAGAAACAGACCCAGAGATAGAGAGAACAAGCTGATGGTTGCCAAAGAAGTGGGGGATGGGAATAAAATTTTTTTAATAAAACAATTAATTTCTTTAGCCATTTATACATCTTATGATTTTATGTCCAAGATTAGTGGCCATCTCCAGAAAAACAGCCTATTTTCATCTTTCAACATAAAGTAGTCATGTCCTTGCTTTCTTGTCAAGGGAAATTACTTCCTACAGTTTACAATTTTCTTTTCTACTCATTATTTATGTCCCCAAGCTACCATTTTAGGTATCTTCTGCAACAACAATCACCCATTCTCAAAAAAGAATCCATGAGCAGGGAATAAAGAGAATAACTTGCAAACAACATTATCCCAGTCATATCATAAGAAACTAAGATGTCTTAATAATACTATATGAAAGTAAAATGTGTTACAATATTTTATTATTAAATAGCAGCAAAGAAAGTCCAGATCCAGCCATTCTACTGAAATTGAAATGTATACAATTCCAACTATGGAAGTGAATTCAAATAAATAGAAAGTAACAAATCTAAATGAAGACAAATGTAAAAATTACTCGTGGATAAAATATGGCTAATTTTTGTTTGTAATCTTAAATTAGAATGAAAATATAAAATGGCATAAAAATAATGAGTGCATGACAACTCCTTGTGTGAAATACTGAAACAAGCAGTAGTTGACAGAACACACGATCTACCTTCATAGTCATTGATCACTGGGCATAAACACTGATCACTGGATATAAACCAACCACTTAAAAGACACATCCTATAAAAACTAAATTATCTTCATGCCCAATGTAACTAGACTAAAACAACTTGCTCAACTAGTGGTAGCAATTGCTATGTGAAACAAAAAGAATACAGTTAAATTCTCACTTAAAATCATGGATATATTCTGCAACTTTAAGCAAAACAATGTATAATAAAAACAATTTTCCCACAGGCTAATTGATATAAACAGGAGTTAAGTTCCTAGTGCATCTCATCAACTTCATAATGAAACAGTGTTAACCTAAAGTATGGTATTTGAGGACATGCTGTACAAATGTTGATTTCATGAGACATTCATAGGAAACCATTTTATTTCATTCTTAATCGAGCTTTCTAGTCACGACACTTTAAGAGTCTAATTTCCCCCAAACCCCTTCCCCTCAAAGAAATGTGTAATAATTCCTCCTCACATTGTCTAGACCAGCACTGTCCAAAATATAATGCAAGCCACGTATGTAATTTAAAATGTTCTAGTAGCCACTAGAAAGTAAAAAAGAAACAAGATTCATTTTTAATCTTACTTAATATATCCAAAATATAATCAGATCACTATATAATCAATACAAAATTATCAATGAGACATTTTACATTCTTTTTGCTGTCTTTTAAATTCAGTATGTATTTTACACTAAGTGCACATCTCAATTCAACTAGCCATATTTCAATTGCTCAATAGCCACATACATCTAGTGGCTACTAGATATATTCACTAAAATAAAAATAGCAGCATTTAAAATTGGAATCAAAAGAACTAAAGACAATGAAACTGGAAAAGTCTCCAGTTCAGCTGTTCTTCATGTTTCTATGTCTCCAAAATCTTTTTGAAGAGTCTAAAAGGTCCTCTCTATTCCACATACCTATATGAGACTGGTTTTCCTCACTTTAAATAACATATTGCAACAGACTGACTACAGAAATACCATACATATGAAGATCCAACTGTCTTATTAAACCAAAGCAAAGAAATATGTAAAAGTATAAAATAATGTGACTCTTAACACCAATTTTTCTGCTTATTTTGGAAAATAGTCATTTATCACTGTAAGCACTTTGAAGGTAGATCCTATGCTCTATCAACTACTGTTTTCAGTGCTTCACATATGTAGTTGTCTCTCAGTCATTAGTTTTGTCACTTTATATTTTAACTCGATTTAATTTTGTAATGCTAACACAAAAGGAGTTTACTGCATTTTTAAATGAATTAATAAGCAGTCTTAAATTTCTATTCTAATTTCTAACAAGGTAGATATATTTATAGCTGTAGTTCACATAAACAAAAACCCAATAATTATTAAGCATATAAAAAGATTTTAAGACCAAGAAATTTGAGTTGCTATGCTGATCTATCACACAACTCCTGGAAAACAAAGAGGAAGAAATTAAAAGTCAAAGTCTCAACAGTTTCTTTCCTATTTCTCTATAAATTCCACAAAATGCTTCATTCTATCATTAACCTTAATTTTGTTCTTAGATATACAAATAAACGAATTTAATTCATCACATGTAGTTCACATACAGGGCGGGGTAAAAGTAGGTGTATAGTTGTTCTTATGGAATACAATAATAAATACAAGAATAAACTCTGTGTTTTATGTACTCACAACTGTATACCTTTTACCCAACCCTGTACAATTGTTGAGGTAATCTGAGTAGACCTGTTGATGTATACACAGGCCTCCAAAGGCCTTCAGACACATGGTTAAATTGAAACTCATATGGAAGCTTACTTAGAACACTGAGGTTAACTGAGCAATCATCCCAGATTTTTTTTTTTTTTTTTTTTTTTTACTTTTTCAGAAGACATGAATGAGTTTCCATAAGCAATATTTTTCTCATTTTTTTACAAAGTGAAAGTAATTCACAAACAGTAATCAATTTTTTCAGCACTATAATAACTGTAGAGTATATATTAAGGAATCACAGTGCTCTCCAATCTTTGTCACTATATCCCAGAAGAAATTAAGATAGCATTATTCCCATGTAGGATTACAGAAAAGTGGACTTTAACTGCCACGGCAGAACGCAGCAGCAGAAAGGGGGAAAGTACCGGCTCCATATTCCGGCACCCTGTTCCGATCTGCCCACTGGACCAATAAGGAAAGCCGTGAACAGTGAGAGAGCAAAGAATTATTATAAAAATCCAATTCTGCCCTGGCTGGTGTGGCTCAGTGGATGGGCTCTGGCCTGCAAATGGAAAGGTCGCTGGTTCCTTTCCCATCAGGGCACATGCCTGGGTTGTGGGCCTGGTCCCCAGCTTGGGGCAGGCAGAGGCAAGAGACCGATATATGTCTGGGCACTTTCATGTATGTCTCGCACATCAGTGTTTCTCTCCCTCCTTTCCTCTCTCTCTAAAAATTAAATAAAATCTTTTAAAAAATAAAAACTTTAAAAAATGCAAATTCTGAACTGATGTGAAAACATAACCATACCTCTAAAACCCGTGGTGGACCCCAGAATATCACAAAATTCCCAGGAGAGTATACCAGAAAGTTAGCTGTGGACACAATTCTCAAGTCCCAACTAACATTTTAAGGAAACATAGAAGCAATTTAACCTTATATTTTGTAAAAGATTAAAGTATACCCTGGGCATTATAATTTCAAAAATTTTGGAAATATCTTCTGAGATACTGTCAGAAACCTAAACAATTCCTTTGTGTTAATCAAAGAAATACAGTCAGATAACAATTGATCTTTTAAAACTACTAACCCCAGATGAAAATCTCTGAAGAAAAAAATATATCTATAACAATGAGGAATGTCTTTCCAACTTACTTCTCATATTAACATCTATAGGGTTTACACTTGCAGCATGAACTTTGATAATGACTTCATTTGGGTAGTGTATGATAGGTAACATCATGTCCCGAGTAAATCGAAGCACTTCATTCTTCCCATATTTATCAATCACCCAAGCAGGCATGACAGTGTTCCTTGAAGAAGTAGTACTAATCCTTCTAACTGAAGACTTTTGTATAACTTGGTTTCTCCAGAAGCAAACCGTAGTACACGCCTTTCTTCTAAGTGCACAAGTCTTCAGAAATTCCATCATAAACATGTGATTGAGGTGCGTGCCCAAATTAAATTGCACTTGGATTGGATTAAACTGTCACCCCTGAAATCGGTCAGATTCTGGCAAACACACTGGGCGATTTCAAAACTGAGAATTCAAAAATGAAGTTAGCCTAATGGAGCAAATGAAATTAGAAGAATATGGAATTAGGAGTCTCCTCACATATAAAATGCTCCAATTAACTTTCCAATGCGTATTCTGTCCATTCTCCTCCCCGCTTATACCCCCTTCCCTTCGAAACAAAACCAAAATCAAAACCCCTAAAACTGTCCGTCCCAGAAGCACTCAGAGGGATCAACTGACTCCGATCGCGATCCCAACGCCACAGGTAACCAGACGCTTCCAGATCCCCGTCGCGACCCTAGCTCGGAGCCTCCTTGCCACCCGTTCTCCGTCGCCGCGGGGACTTGCCTTGAGGCGCCAACCAATGGCGTGCAAAGATCCCGTCCTCGGGTTGCAATCCGACCAATGGAAGTACTCGGTGCTGAAAGGTTCCGTGACGAGCAAAGATGGCTGCGCCCATGTAATACCGGGAGCGGCTGTTGACCTTTCTTATTCCTCTTGTCACCTGGCCCTTGTAGTGGCAGGCTGGGCAGGAGGACCATGCTGGGCCGGACCCTCCGAGAAGTGAGTGAAATTGGCTGCTGAGGGACCAGGGAGGTCAGAAAGATTCGCGGAGTCCGTGGACATGGAGTCCCCGGGTCTGACCACGCATCTCGGTCAGCCTTGTTGCCTCCTACCTTGGAACTGGTTGGGGTTTTTGACCTGTGGGTCTTTAGGCTGTATTGTTCATACCGGTTCCGGAGTTAGGACCTCAGGAAGGGAGACTTCTCTACCGCAGAGCCGTGGGGTGGAAGTGTACACCGGCTTCTCAATTAGATGTTTGCTCAGGCTGGTTCAGGCCTCGATGCTCTTACAGGGGCCCTGCCGTGTAAAAGGGATTTCTGGGTTCCCCTCCGCCTCTCTCTTCTGGCCTCGACACTCATTTGATGCAGTTCTAAGGAGCCCAGCAACTCTGCCCCTTGCAAAAGGCAAACTAAGGATTTTGGCTCCACCCCTCCCTCTTCAAATATTCATTCTCTAGGCTTTAACTACCCCTAAGATACCAATGATTCCTTTACACTTATCTCAGTTTCCTGGACGGCATTTTGTAGTTCTAGGTTATATTTGTGAATGGCTTCTGGACATCTCTTCCAAATGTCCCATAAGCTTCTCAAACTCAATTTAACCAAAGGTGACTTCCATCATTGTAACAGGACCACCTCTTACCTCTCAACCTTCATATTTAAAAAAAAAAAAAAATCTTGACTTCTGAATTCATAATTGTCTCTTGTTCATGGGACAACCGTTATCCTATTTGCTCTTAGATTATTCTTCATCTATAATATCCAATAAATCACTAACCCCTGTTAATTCTGTCTTGAAATTGTGTCTAGAATCTGTTCTCTCGCTTTATCCCTGCTGTTTAACTCAGGTTTCTGTGCTTCCTGGCCTAGATCTCTCAACCTTTATAGCTGTCTGCCAGCTCACTGCTATCAGAATCACTTCTGGCCCTTGTTAAAACTAAGCTGTGTCCCAATGAGGCAGATCTGTGTGGGACGGCCCATAGTATATGGTTTAACCAAGGCTCCAGGTGATTCTGCTGGTAGGTAGGGGCTGAGGACCTACCATGCTTTCTGTCTTCACCTGGAGAGTCTTTTCTTCCCACCTGGCAGCCTTTCAGAGGGCTGTAAATTACAAGAACTTTTTAAGTCCACAAGCTTTAAATAATAAACAGTTCTTCCCCAAAATAACTATTGTTTTATCATTTCAATTGCATATGGCCTTTACTATCAATAAGGAATCCTGTTTGCTCTTTAAAAAAGAAACTGAAAACCTGTTTTAAAATGAAATACAACTGAAAAATATGGTATTTTTTTTTTCTGTTCTTTTTCTCTTCAGCTACACCATTTTTGGGCCACCCCTTCCTCGTGTTGTTGAGTGAGCCGTCATGAGAAACAGCTTTTAGGGGAACTGACCCGTGGGCAGGCAGGAGGTTGCCTTGGCATGATTGCTTTCAATTAATCACTCCTTTAACAATTATTTATTTGTTATATGTAAAACATTATTTGGTGGTTATTTTCCAAACCCAAAATATATCTTTTGTCCACCCTGTATTTTCTTCACATCATTGTATCATTTCCCCAAATGCTACCAATTAGGGATTAATTTGGTGCACATTCTATTTTAAATATGTAAAGATGCCTGGAAAGGCTGACTGATTTATTCATCCATTGTTGTAAATTATAATAGTTCTATCAACTGTCTCTCTTTCATCACACTCTAGTTCAGATAGTTGTTTGAAGAAAGGGAAATTTTGCCGGAGAGGAAATTAAGAGGAAGGGCTAGAAACTGGATTTTTGAGGCAATTTGGGATACCTAAGTTAGGGCAACAGAGGAGCCCTGGGAGGAAGAACTAAAAAGAGTTGAAATGCCAAATAGGAGGTAAAACTCCTATTTGTGAATTTTACCCAGGTACATTCAGGAAGTGGGGGAATCTTTTACCTTCCTTTTTTGTTACATGACGCCACTGCTTCTATGAACCAGACACCAAGCTAATATTATTAATTCAATGGGCTTCTTGGGAAGGGGGGTCTAGCCTAACATTTAATTATTGTCCTGTTGGAAAACTGATTCCAGATTTTAAATAACTCTGTTATTCATTCATTTAACTATTATTTATTGAGCACCTCTGTGTTCCAGACACTGAGGATTAGTGTTAAAGACAGAAGCTCCTGCCCTCATGATACCTACACTATTATGGGAAACCAGGCATTAAATACATTTTTTAAGTAAATAATACAATTTCATGTAGTATTAAGTGCTATGAAGAGAGATTAAGCAGGCTATAGTGTGAGAACTAATTGGGGGAGCTGGACGTTTTAGCTAGGAGCTGGGGAAGTTTCCCTGACTGAGTGGGTGATATTTAATAGAGACCTGAAGGATATGAAGCATTAGCTCTGGGAAGATCTAGGTGAATAGTGTTTCAGGCAGAGAAAACAATAAGTGCAAATACTCTGAAGCAAGAGCAGGATTGACACGTTCAAGGGACAGCAAGAAATCCAACATACCCAGAAAGAAATGAATGAGGAGATGGGTGGCAGATGAAGTTAGAGAGATTAGCAGAAGCCAGACGCAGAGCCTTTTAGGTCACATTAAGAGGTGTGGGTTTTATTCTGAAAAGTTATCAGTTTGTGGACATGATCTAGTTTAAAATGTAAAAAGCTCCTCGGGCTACTGTTAAGGACTATGGTCTATAGGAAAGCAAGTGAGGAAGAATGAAGGCCAATTAGGAGGCTCTTGCACTGGCAAGAGATGAGTGCAGCATTGATACGGTGGTGGGAGTAGAAGTAATGTGAAGTGAGCATTGCTTTTTAAGTTAGGACTTACCAGTGGATTGGGGTATGGAGTGTAAGGGAAGGAGAAGAATTAAGGAGGATGCTTGAGTTTTTGGCCTGGACAACTGGGGAAAAAGGTAACATTTATCAAGATTTTGAAAGACTCTTAAGGGAGCATGTTTGAGATTAGAAGGTTATCAAAATTTCTTTTCTGGGCGTGGTAATTTTGAGATGCTTTCTAGATAATCCAAGTGAAGATGTCAGTTAAGAAGGTGGATGCAGGAGTATGGAGGTCAAGAAAGAGGCTAGGTATGAGGCTATAAATTGGCAAGCGTACAGAAGATGATTAAAGATATATGACTAGATGAGATCCCCTGGGCAGTTGAGTATAGAAGAAGGCCTAAAACTTCCTAGCATTTAGAGGTCAGCAACAGGGAGCAGTACCAGCAGAAGAGACTTAAAGGGATGTCCAGTAAGGCAAGAGGAAAACCAGGAGGTGTCCTGAAATACAAGTGAAGTGCTTCAAGGAGAGAGTAATCTCTTATGTTGGATAATGCTGGACTGAGCAGTGACTCCTGGATTTAGGACTGTGGAGGTTGCTGGTGATCTTGACATGCTATTTTTTGGAACAATGGAGGCAGAAGCATGAATGTTAAATGAGTCTATTAGAGACAGTACCAGTCAACTGTCAACTCAGCTTTCAAGGGCTCTTCTATACCTTGAGATTTATCCAGACATTTTTTTTTAAAGATTTTATTTATTTATTTATGTCTAGAGAGAGGGGAAAGGAGAGAGAAAGAGAGGGAGGGAAACATGGATATGAGAGAGCAACACAGATTGGCTGCCCCTCTTACGTGCCCAACGAGGACAGAACCTGCCACCTAGGCATGTAGCCCGGTTTGTGGGGTGACGCCCAACCACCTGAGCCACACTGGTCAGGGCAAAACATGTTTTAAAAGATAGTTGTTTTCCAAAGTGCTCTTTGTAAAGTTAATAAAATGTTCTCCACTTTGTTCTAGAAGAGTAAATGCCGTCACCCCTTGCATAGAAAATTGTAGAATACAGTGGTCCAGTGCATGGGCGTTGGAAACAAGAACAAGTTTGGTTGAATCCCAGCTCTGCTATTTTCTAGCTATGTGATTTTAATCTGGAACTTTATCAATTTATCTGTAAAATAGAAATAATAATATCAGCCCCTTAGTGTGGCTGTAAAGAGTAAATGAAATATAAAGCATCTAGGATAATGCTGAGGGCTAAGTACTATTATTAACACTAATTTTGTTACAGGGAAAAAATTACTAGGTTATATGTATTTATAATTTTCTCTTCCCTTGGTTTATAAAAAGAGTGGTTTCCTGAGGAAGATTTCTTAATTTTTCCAAGAAGGTATGTTATTACTTTTTTATTGCTGAATAATTAGTATCCAGGGGTGTCCAACCTTTTGGTGTCTCTGGGCCGCATTGGAAGAAGAGTTGTCTTGGACTGCACATCAAATACATTGTGACAGGTAATCACAAATAAAATCTCATAATGTTTTAGTATATTTATGATTTTGTGTTGGGCCGCATTCATAGCCATCCTGAGATGTATGCGGCCCACGGGCTGCAGGTTGGACACCGCTGGTACTATAAACTTTTCAGCTTAAATTGACACAGTCTTACACACACATACATACACACACAATCTTAACATCTTACAGTTTTGTGGGTCAGGAGTCCAGGAAGGAAGTAGCTGTGGTCTGTGCTTAGAGTCTCATAAGACTGAAACCAGAGTGTCAGCCAGGGCTGCGGTTTCATCTTAAGTCCTCACTGGTTGTTGACAGAACCTGTTTCCTTGCCATATTAGGACTGAGGTTCCCATTTTCTTGCCAACTATGGGGGCAATGGAGTAAATGGGCTTAAGGGCCCGAAGATGCGGGATAACCAGAAATGAGGTTTGGGAGGTAACAGATATATTGGTAACGATGTAGCCTGGGCCGTGACCATGTGAGTTGGTCATGGGGGTGAGGTGAAGGAAACGTTTGTGTAAAGT